TTTTTTTTTTTTTGGTACCAGGGATCGAACTCAGGACCTTGTGCTTTCAAGGCAGGTGGAGGCACCACTGAGCTACATCCCCGGCCCTATATCTCCTCTTGGGAATCATTCAGCTTCCTAATTCTCTATTTCCTTGACTTACATCGCCATTTGTTCTTGCTGTATTAGGAACTGAGCTCGATCTCTTTCCTCTAACACAACAGTCTTAAATGAAGGCTTTCTTACCATTTTAACAAGTGTCAAAATAATTCTGTTTTTAACAGAACCCAAAGGAAAAAAATTCAATCCTTCACTCGCAATAACAACAGAAACAGCAATGGGATTCAACAGTTACGGTGACAATTTGTGGGTGAAGCATGAAATTAGAAGAAAATCAAGCATGTGCTGAAGGATGTTTTCATATGAGCTTTAAAAGAAAATAAAACAGGCCAATCAACACATGAAATAGGAACAAGGCTTGGGAAGTGGGGGGAAATATTCTAATCACAAAGTGAATGTGGTTCACTACGTTTCCGAGTGTTTAGGGATTATCCATGGATAAGCCGATCCGATCACAGTGCAGGGAGAGGGGCTGTGCAGTTTCCGATTTTTCACCTTCCTTGCCCCAGGTCTTCTGCAGCTGCAGAGGTAAGGAAGAAGCAGAAAGCAGGGGATCTCATGGTCCTGAACGAGGCCTGGGGCGGCAAGGGACTTACTTCTAGGAGCCAACTACCAACTGGATGTTCATATACTGTCTTCCCACCAGGGATTCCTTCAGATCAGTAAAATGCTTCTCTGAAGAACGTTAAGTCAACCGGACATTTGCAGTCAGACGAATACTTAGAATTGGCTTAAGACGTAGTGACTGACACGAGTAAGGCTTTTCCTAGGAGTGGGCGAGGGGACCAGGGAGGAAAGGCGCAGAGGACGCTGGGTCTCGGCAAATCTGGACGACAGGCCCCAAGGCACATGCTGGGTGGGGCCACAGAGACGACCTTGCCACACTCTTCCATTCTTCCTGGGGTCCTAAAAGGCCAAGCTCTCACCTGAAAGATTATTTTGCTGCACATTGTGGCACCTTTGTAAGACAATGGGGGTGGCCAATCCCAGAGGTGGAATATCAAGCTCAGCCCTTGACAGTGAACCAGCACACTTGCAGTAAAGTTCATGCTCCGTAAATCACATTCTAATTCTCTACTTTCTCAACTTGGGTCCCCAGCAGACACTGGCAATGCCTAGAGACAGCTCGGATGTAGCCTCTCCAGGAGTGGCACCGGTGTGTACCCGGTAGAAGCCAAACATGTTGTTAAGCATCCAGGCAGGCCCAGGAAGTGTTTGGCACAAAGAAAGGTCCAGCTCCAAATGTCAATAATAGCACGGGGCAGAGAAACCCTATCCTAATCTGAAGTGGCAACGGTTGGGCACTTCCTGTCTCACTCCCTGTGTTTTGAAACAAGAACAACAGACTGTCACAGGTAGCTTCTTGGGGCAGCGAGTCATAGGACCACCTTTCTGGAAGGAGGCGGAGGTACAGCATGTCTGCGTGGGGAAGAGAGTGCCCCAGGCTACACTTATCCTTCACACCATTAAATCCTCTGCTCTTTTAGCCTGGGTTACACAGGCCATTTTGATACCCTTAATATAATATTTAATGTCTATGAAAAGCCAACATTGCGATCCCAGCTTCCCCCACCTCGATCGAAGTGGCGTGTGCCTTTCAGACCATAATGAAGTCCTCCCTCCCCACCATGAGAAGAAGCCTGGGGATCTCACAGCTCCATGGGCTGGAGCTGCAAGTACTTTTCCACAGCACTGTGTGGGAGTAAAAGCGATCTCCCATGCAGCTGTCTGCCTCAGGAAAATACTGTAAACATCTCCCCCACACAGCTTGTCTGCTTTGAAACTACCCCTTTCATAATCGCAGACATATCTCTGTGGCCACAGCACTAACCTGCTGAGCAACAGCTGCCTGTTACGTTCTGGAAGCAAAGAAGTGGCTGCCTGATCGGGGTGCGTGAGAGCCGAGAGAGCCCTGCCGCCTGCCATGGAGGTGCCAGTCTGCCAGTCTGGCCCTGCCCTGGCTCCCTGAAGAGGCCCAAACCCAAAGATGTGCCTCAGAGCACATTCACTGGTCAAGGAGTCTCCAAAGGCAATGCTGAAAGGGCAGACTGAGGCCCCCAGCTCTTCTGTCCAGTGGCTCCCCAGGAGCACTTTACAGAGCAGTACCAGAGTCTCCCCCAAACCCTCAAAGGGTGGTTCCCCACCTCCAGCAGACCCACAAAATCAGAAGCTCTGGGGGAGCCAGCAAAAGGTGGTTTCTGCCCTCCAGCCAATCTGATGCAAGCTGACATTTTGCGTCCCTAAAAAGAGACCACAGAAAGATCTTGCAAGGAAATGTGGACGTTGGAATGGGAAAATAAGAAACTGGCAGAAAGTGATACATGTAAAGAGCAGAAAACTTGACAGTGAGTCTACTTTTTGTGTTGCTAGGAGGGAACCTAGGGCTTGGAGTACGCTAGGCACGCTCTCACGGAACACACCTGCAGCCCACCCAGGGCTTTATGACAGGGTAAGTGGCGGGTGGCAAAATTGGGCAAAAGTTTAGGACTGATTCACTGTTTTTTTCTTTAGCAGTGCAGGGCATCAAACCCAGGGCCTTGTCAGGCTAAGCCGGTCTTCTACCAGGGAGCCATGCCCCCAGCCCATGTATGATTTTTTAAGTTGATGGGTTTCATGCAGCATGGCTTCCGTTCAGCCCAACCCTCGCGTTTCTGCCTCAGGCTGTGGACGTGGTTTGGGTGGGATTTCTGTCTGCATTGCTGCAGCGAGCTCCAGGAGCTGCACTCATAACCCTTGTAGCATAATTGCCACCCTACTTTCTGGGGCAACAACGCTGCTTTTCAGTTTCTCAAGTCCATGTGGGTCCTCTACCCTTCACCGTCCACACAGACCTGGGCTGTAGGAACAGACGGTAATGCTCAGGTACCCACACTAAGGTCAGATTTCCAGGGCGCGTGGTAAGGGGTCACTATGTCAAAAGAAAGGAAGCTTCAGGACCCTGGAAGAAAGCTGGAGTGTAGCTCGTTTAACCCATCTTCCTGCTCTCCTCTCCACTTCCCTTCCTCTCTCCTCGCAGGCTGTCTGTCGACTGCTCCTGTTTTCATACAGTGTATTGTGCTGGGATGGGGCTGCACTGGGGACGATGCTCTGAAGATCTGCGTGGGGTGAAAAAGGTTCTTATGTCTCGAACAGAATGATCTTGTAGATGGACTTGAAGCAATCCACCATCTACCTCTCTGTGACTCTTTGGCTGCATAATGGCTACAAAGTCTCCCAGACAATGGCCAACAACATTGATTTTCATCTTTTTCTAAGCTACTTCTGGGCCTTAAAAACCCACACTTTATTCTCCACATCTCTACTCAAAGCACTCTCACCCTTCCCCCAAAGCCACTCCTCTTGGCCAGGCGCCCTGTGGGCGTGGAGTGGCCGGAAGGTGTTGCTCAGCAGCAGCCTCACCTTGAGGTCCCTGTGGACAATGCCCATCCTGTGGAGATAGTACACGGCATCCAGGACTTGGCGGATCAGAGTGCTGGCATCCTTCTCTGTGTAAAATCCCTTCTCCACGATCCGATCAAAGAGCTCTCCACCAGATACACTGTTCAAAAAGGAAACAAAGTAGAGTGAGGACTTGTTGAACTATAGGGGGATAACCATCCATCAGAGCTTTCCAAGTGAAAAAAGACCAAGCATTATTTCTAAAATGAATCCACTTTCCAGTGTAGATCCTGCCCCAGCTCTTCTTCCCCAGGAAGAGGTGCCTGTGTGATGACAACAGAAATAATCAGAATGGAATCAAGTGAGGAAAACCAGGACCAGAGACCAGCAATGCCTTAGACCATCTCTCCTGACCTGGCCCTGTCCTGTTCTGACAAGGTAAGGTTGAAATGTTAGATTCAGGGAGGTGGCACTGGACCAGGTAGGTGTCTCCTTCACATGAGGGCATGGCCTTACGTGACCGAGAAGTGCAGAGCAGTGACCTCCCATAGGAGGTCTGGGTTTCCACCGGCTCAAGAAGTAATACTAAGCATCGACACATGGGATCACATCAACTTACAAAGCTTCTCCACTGCCAAGGAAACAACCCACAGAGTGGAGAGACAACCTACAGAATGGGAGGAAAAGTTTGCCAGCTATTCCTTGAATAGAGGTTAACATCTAGAAGAGATGAAGAACTCAAAATAATTGGACACCCCCAAATAAAAGACCCAATCATAAAAGGGCCAACCAAGATGAACAGATACTTCTCAGAAGTACAAATGGCTAATAAATAACAACAAAAAAATTCTCAGTATACTGGCTTTTAGAGAAATTAATGGCTACTATCAAGAAATAATAACAAATGCTGGCAAGGATGTGGGTGAAAAGGAGCCTTGTACATTGTTGGCAAAACCACTGTGGAAACAAGTGTGGCGATTCCCCAGAAACTAAGACTAGAAATTCCATTTCACCTAGCTATTCCCCTTCTAGGTATTTTCCCCAAAGAGTTAAAGACAGCATACTATAGGGACAGATGTGTACCCATGTTTATAGCAGCACAATTTATAAAAGGTAAATCTTGGGACCGGCCTATATGTCCATGAACGGTAAAAGCAAATGTAGTACAGTATTCATATGCCCTGGAGTACTACTCTGCCATAAAGAAAGATAAACGTGAGGCATTCATAAGTAAATGGATGTAAGTTGAGGTCATAATATTAAGTGAAATAAGTCAGACGAACAAGCTTAAACACCATATGGTTTCTCTTATGTGAGAAACAATATATCTATATATGTTGACATATATTGTCAAAAATAGAAGATAGACAAATAAGAAGTAGGGAGATCTTTTTCAAATGGGTGGGAGAACAAGAGATGGAGGGAAAGTGGATGGAAGAAAATAATTGAAAGGAAAAAATGATGAAAATAGGGCCAGGGATTTAGATCAGTGGGCAAGTGCAAGGTCCCGACTGGGATCCCCCATTTAAAAAAAAAGATGAAAATGGAGCTTTTGCAAATGGAAAGGGGACCAAGAGGAGGAAGAAGCAGGGAGAAAGGGGAAGGGGAGGGAAGGAAAACAAGAAGAAAAAGAATCACATATATCATGTACAGGTACCAGTTCCCTGCGATAACTGTAGTCATTATGTACTGCAAACATGTACCCAAAAGATAACTGACCTCAAAGGGGCCAAAAAGGAAACACAGAAAATAATCAAGTAACTCACAAGTAAAGTATATAAACTATTTTTAAAAAGGGGGAACTCTGACTTCCTGGCTAACTTTGGCTCCTGAGCGCCTGAGCTCCCGAGCACTCTTGGAATTTCTGGACCTTGTGCTTCTTTCTGTAAAACAAGAGCATTGAACTAGTAACCATTTTTAACAGTGAGCAGGCACATGCCCTTGGTAGCATCAGAACTACAAAACCATTTATGCTTAAAAACTACTTTATCACGCCTGTCTCACAAGGGCAAGATCCTGAGTTCAGTCCCCAGTACAAAAAAAAAAAAAAAAAAAAAAAAAAAAAAAAAA